GAGCTCTACAATAACCACTAAAGCTGTTTTCAAAACCAGTAAAAACAAATTCTCGCTGACCCCTAGCATACATACGTATCATATAAATTTGCATATCTATATAATAAGAATATATACCTTGAAAGCATTTGCTACATGTGCTACATTTGAATGCTTCTGGATTGTCATGCCACATTGCGTGTTGTTGCAATCTCCCGATTCGGCGAAATTTCCGATTGCAGCACATAATGTAACCATTCTGATTATGTATATCAAGAAAATGGTTTTGAATTTCAGCAAATGAATCAAAGACACGATCATCACTACAAACGTCACATTTCATCTGAACATAGCTCAATAATCGTTTATTGTCTTCATCGAGTGATACGGCGGTGGTCACCGATATTTTTTTGCTGCGCTTCTTAAGTGTTTCTTTCGTTGTTTTTCCTGTATGGTTTTCCCCTTTCAACTTTGTGGTTTTTCCGTCGGACTTTCGCCTCTTTTCTTTCGGTTCGCTATAGGACGTATCACTCGTATCACCATCGTCATCTTCGTCGTCTTCGTATACAAAACTCACTTCATCTTCGAAGTCACTCAATTCGGTATACTCCGTGTTTAGTGTATCAATATCAATCAATCTCGCATCGCAATCCGAATCAATTGGTTCCTGCTCTTGTTTTATACGAAGTGATTCGTGAACTTTAACATCGAAGTCGATAACTTTTTGGTTTTTTTTGGTTGTTACATTTTCATCCACATTTATCATACAAAATGGCTCTATATTAAATTTCTTATCTTCAGTTTGATTTTCAAACTTTTTAGTCGCAAACTCATTGTGTATTTTCTCAATTTCCACGAAGAATTGTTTTGGATCTTCGAAAGTTGAAAAGGTCCCATTGTCTTGCAAGAATCTCTGATTAAAACTCGCCTGAATATTTTCCACTTGGGCACAGAACTGATTAAATTCATCAATTTTTTCCCAACACAAATCGCATAGCTCTGTTAAGATGCTTACAGCTTCGGAACTGCATAAATCGCGCTTCTGAAATTTAAAACAAAATGTTAAATTCCAGTTTTCAATGTGTTGAATGAGTGAAAATTACCTCGAACAAAATGTTAAATTTCTGCAGTACAATATCAATCTCAGGCGACGAAGAGATGAAACTCGCATTACCGCTCGCCAAGCACAATCTACAAAATAACATTTTCTTCATTTCCTTCAAATGAGTTCAACCAGTTTTATTATTTATTCATTAAATTATTCAAATCTATTCTCTTTCAAATATGAGTTTATAGCAAAATCAAATTTTTCAACTATTCCTTTACTTCATAAAGATTGCTTATATTATTATTGTTGGACTGTCAAAATTATTGTTCGTCTTTTGAAATGTCAAAATTTTGCTCGTCTTACATTGTTTGAAAATCTGAAGTAGTTTGGAAAATTTCAAACAAAGAAATGCAATTCAAACATAATAATTGAATTGTATTTTGATTTCATTTGAAAAAAAATCTTTACAATTTTATTACTAGAAAAGCTTATAAAGAAACTTAATGAGAACCACACTTTATACACGCAGACAAACTTGATGATATAAACGGGACATAACGGTAGGAGCAACACGTGAACATTGACACTTCGTTTCAACAGTTTTGAAATGTTTGGGATAATTTAAGCAGAACAACCGTAACATTTATTTTGAGCTTTTTTTACGTAGTGCAAATGAATGCCGAATTCAGTGAATATTTCAAGGCTCCGTCAAACTATTCGGAACCTCACGACACGGAGTTAGATGGTAGCACACAGTTTCCGAATCTAAATTCAATTGAATTTCGGAGCCGTAAAAATGATGATGGTGTTGCTTTGCTGCCATTCTACGAATTACTGGAAGCTAACGAAGACCAATCTATCATTTTGTTGGCTACAAATTCGTACAACCAACGGCTATGGAATGGCGCAGTTTTCGGTTATGGCAAATTTGACGACATCGGCAAACCAAATACGGGTATTATAAAGTTGCCATTTGATTCGAATGTGACCGGAATCGGCTGGACTGGAAAAACAATGGTCGTGTTCACAACGGCCACTGGAACAATCCAATTTTGGTCGCTACAATCAGAAATTCGCCAACAAAATGGCTACAACTTATTTCAAGTGTCAAAGAAGACTGAGCATTTTGGATTGATTAGCGGTTTCACTCTGTTTGATGGCGATAAAAAGGACAAAGCCGTGACTGGTTCAACTGATGGCTGCCTCAAAGTATGCAATTTTCTTCTTCTTTTCTACTTATTTTATAATGTATATATTTGTCATGTAACGACAATAAAATTAAAAACTTTTCATATTGTTTCGAAACATACAGATTTGGAAGTTGGGTGCTTGTGATATTATATCCGAGCAAACTTATCGATATGCCCATAAAGCTGCCATCACTGGTGTTTCCAGTAAGCCAAACTCAGACGATTTATTTGCTACCACGTCACGGGACCATTCTCTTTCAATTTGGGATCTGCGCTCAAAAATGCCACTTGTTAATTGTTTCAAGAACGAAGACTTCGCCAACACAGCATGTCTATGGGCACAACCACAAAACAATGGTGTTGATAATTTGTTTGTGGGTGAGGACAGCGGAAAAATGCATATTCTCGATCCCAGGAAGCTCAACGAATACGTGGTAACACAAACTCTGTTCGAGCGTCCAATTTACAAATTCAGGTTGAGTCCATCTAAAAAATCACTGTGCATACTCGGCCAAACTAATACACTCAAAGTTGTAAGCATGACGACTGGCGCGGAAACAATTTACACAGATTCAACTGCATGCGATTATGTTCGTGATGTTTGCTGGATAAACAACCAAAACGATGCACAACAATCATTCTACTCGATCGGTTGGAGCAAAAATGTTGGACAGCACTCAATCAAAGAGTCATCGACATCATCATCACAAGCATCATAAAGCATTTTTTTTATGTCAAGTTTTAAGTTTCAGCTTGTGGCTGATATGAACCACAACATAGATAACGATATGACGATTAAAATTATTTTATAAATAAAATAATACTGGTTCTTTTTTCGTCTTTTCGAACAAAATTTTCTACAATTTATTTTTAAAAAAAAGTTTCATTTTCACAAATAAACTTAACTTAAACGTAATACAATCAAAACAGTTCAGTCCAGTCATAACGATTTTCTTTTATGGAAATGATGACATGTTTTTTCGTATGTGCGAGATCTGAATGGGAAATTGGTTAAAATGTTTTTATTAGTTATTGTTTTTTGGTTAAAGATAAAATGACATTATCTTCTTATTTTGTGCCATTGGCTTTTGGCTTCTCGCTATCTTGGTGGACTCCGTTAGAAGTTTGGGTTTTCTTTTCAGCTGCAATGCACAAAGTATGTTGCCCACCCGATGAGATACGAATCACATTTTTGTCTTTAACTTGAACACCGGTTAACAATACGGGATTAAATTGATCTTCATCTGATCCGATCCCGAGCTGTTGATTCGATCCCATGCCCCAACTGTACGCTTTTCCATCCTCTGTGAGTGCAAACGAACAACACTCTCCACATTCCAATTGTACAACATTTATATCCCCAAGTGCATTGATTGGTGTTAATTTATCGACTTCCTCTTCGATGTTACCTAAACCCAAGCGCCCATAATCTTTCCGGCCGATTGCGTAAGGTTTGTTGTCATTTGTCAAAAGTAATGTGTGATGTTGTCCACCTAAAGGAAAATATCATGAAATTATCAATAAATACAGAATCATTGCTTTCTGCTTACGAATGTAGGGGAAAAAATTGATTATCATTTACCTGTGATCATTTTGACATTCTCGAATGTTGTCAGCTGTGGTGCAAAAACTGTTTCGGAATTCTTCTTCGTAAGTCCCAATTGGTTGTAGTTATTCAAACCGAAACCAAAAACAGATCCATTTGATCGATTGCGTACAAATGTGCTGTGTGGAGGTCATTATGGTGATCATTCATTTAGATTTGATACAACACACAAAAAAGCAAATTGAAAAAAGTGAATTTTCGCCGGGAAATTTGACATTTTTATGTATATTTACCGACGTTGACATAATATTCCAACGCAAATTAACGCCTTCTGTTATTTCGGGGAGCAAAGTGAACTAATTCACCGAGAAATAGTTCTCGACGGAATGATTGAAATTATGTTAACGCCGATAAATATGAAGTGACTCCCGGAAAATTTATATAGAAATATATATATAAATTTTCTGGCGATACTTCACATTTATCAATTTGCTTTTCTGTGTGAATCATTATATAAAATACATACCAATATGTCGTAGTCCAAATAGCGTCTACAAAGCTGAAACGATTGGTTATTATGAGCCCTGGTTGGAGAAGCTGTGTCTTACCCCGTCTGGTTTCACCCGAAGAGGATCGATTGCTAACGCGACCAAGCTGTCCTTGTTCGGCGCAACCAACGCTGAATACTTTTCCACGGCTAGATAACATCACCAAATGATCGGCACCGGATTTGATGTCGACAAATTCTTCGCCCGGTACAACTTCAATAGGGAATTGTTGTTTTCCTTTTATATTAAGTCCCATTGTTCCGTGTGAATCACGAAATGAGCCGCATGCAAACACACGGCCATCCTTCAACAAAAACGCTGAATGTGAATCGCCAGCTGTAATACGAACACATGTGTTTGGCAACGTGACTTTTTGTGCTTCGTATTCTGATCCTTCTTCGGTGGTATCGCGGCCAAGTGCGCCTTCGTCGTTACAGCCAAATGACCAAACTTCACCCTGAGCTGTTAAATACAAACTATGCATTCCACCCGCTGAGATATCAACTATTTGCGATGTCGAACTATCGACAACAAGAGCCGGACGTGTTTTTTCGATGATATCGTCATTAAATCCAAGTTGACCGACTTCATTTTGACCGCAGCTTAACAAATTGCCAAATTTCACTAGGGGCTCCGGTTGTGGCAGTCTATCTATTAATGCAATTCCAAGCATATGGTTAGTTTTCAGCAACAATTTGAATTAAGGAGTCTTGGGAATTACCTCTAATAAAGGACGAGCGTCTTCTTTGGTCATTGGTTTTCTTTGCCTTGATAAGTGGTTCATCGTGGTCACTAGCATTGCTGCCATTCATATCACGTGCTTTTCTCTTGCCCGAAATTTCAGCCATTTAAAAAAATCTAAAATTGGAGCGTTTCCTCTTCAATTTAATTCGTGTTCGTATCAACTAAAAATTTAATTAAGGCATGTCTGTTTAAGATTATTTCAATGATGATCTCCACTTACGTTTATATTTGAAAACAATAAAAACAAATTATTACAATTTAATAAAATACTTTGTACAAAGCTGTTTTTGTACGTATTATTTGGTTCAGTCAAACAATGTCGCCTTTGGACTGAGTGTACATCAACAGAAGTGGCGGCAAACTGTAGTAGGTATTTGTGACAGAATCTATTGAAAAATAGCGCCAATTTGACACATTTGTCTATTCATCAATGATGTCAAATAAACTTGTCTGCTCTTTTAAATACGAGGAATGTACTCAATTCTTTTCTTTATTCATTTTTCAAAGTTTCAATCATTCCTCAGAGTCAGGCGCAAAAACAAACAAACAATTGTTGTTTTACATTTCAAGTTTTTTCGATTTCTGAAAAGCATACCATCTGGTGGTTACCTAATAAATCAAATGCAATCGGAGTTCGGAGGATAAATAAATCAATTATACTAGAAAGAAAGACTTGGTTTTGCGATATTCAGTTTATGTGCTCTTTATTGAATCAACTCTTTCTACATTGCTATAGCCTTTGCATCATCTGCATCCTTGATTTTCTGTAATTGCTCAATTTTTCGTTTTGGTCTGATATCCATAAAATATTTGTATCCATAATATCCAAGATACGCTGTTGAAATGACCGTAATACCCATGCAAGCGTACACCGTCCCATGATGCAAAAAGTCGTAGAGTTTATTCTTTGCTTGTCGTTTCAGCAACATCTTCGATTTAAGTGTATTTTTCCGGAAATATCCTTCGAATGTGGTTTCAACACTGTTTTTATGAAATAATTTTCTCTTTGGTTATGTCGTAATACCTTCTGTTGTCACACTGACAGTTCGTTTTCATTTGACATAATGAAGTTGGTTATAAATCGGCTGCGTTCAAGTGACACACCGGTTTGTTGAGTGGATATTTTTGTTGATAACAAGAAAAAAAATATTATTCAGATTTTTCCGTACTTCTTTCCAACAAAATAAGGTAAGACTCAATTCGACTGTTTAAAATAACAATCAAACTGACTTAAATTGTTGAAATTCATAGATGTCATATTTTCTTATTTGAATAAGAAGCCATATATATTTTTTTTCTTATTGGTTAGAAAATGACGCAAATTAAGCTTCTTTCGTCGAACAAATCTTTTGGTGGCTATCAGAAAATATACTCACATTTTTCAAAAGAGTTGGATTGTGAGATGAAATTTGCTATCTACCTTCCACCACAAAGCGAGACAGCAACCAAGCTACCAGTATTGTATTGGTTAAGCGGTCTAACATGCAACGAAAATAATTTCATTCAAAAGGCCGGCGCTCAAAGTTATGCTGCTTCACACGGCATAATCATGGTTTGTATTCTGTTATTTATAGCGCTTTATTTCGATTGAATGTAAACAATTGATGTCTTCATTTCGCTAGGTTTGCCCAGATACCTCGCCGCGTGGTACCGAAATCGCAAAATATGATGTTGAATCATATGATTTGGGCTCGGGGGCGGGTTTTTACGTAGATGCCATTACATATCCGTGGAACAGGCACTATAAAATGTTTACATACGTCACGAAAGAAATTGTTGAAGTAATCAACCACAATTTCCCAACGGTTGAAGGACTTCAGAGCATTATGGGTCACAGCATGGGTGGTCACGGTACGATTCGATTTAAACCAATCTGTGGTTCCTTTGTTTTTTCTATTGAATAATTATGATTATTCAAAATATCATGACACAATGAAAATGAATTGTTTCTAGAACTTTGATCATGATCATTTTTTACTTGTAGGTGCTTTAATATCTGCTTTAAGGTGTCCTGGCCTTTACAGATCAGTGTCAGCGTTTGCACCGATTGCAAACCCAACTCAATGTCAATGGGGTCAAAAAGCATTTACTGCCTATATCGGTGAAGACAAGACCTTGTGGAATGAATGGGATGCCACCGAATTGGTTCAAAAGTATAAAGGTCCTCAAATTCAGTTATACATTGATCTAGGTTCTGATGATCAATTTTTGCAAGAAAAACAGCTATTGCCAGAGAATCTAATTGAAGCATGTCGCAAGTCTCGCATTGGTTGCATTTACAATTTACGAGAAGGCTATGATCACAGTTACTTCTTCATTGCCTCATTTGTGGGTGAACATATTGCTTATCATGCTAAATTTTTGAAAGAGTAACGTCCGTTTCATCGGAACAAAGTTTGAAAAAAAAAGAAAATCGCTACAATACATAAAAGCAAAGAACTGAAATGCGGTAATATACAAAAATAAATTGTCCAAATGCATTTGAAATACATACATAAATAAAGATTATTTTCTAAAAACAACAATACTAGTATGCTCGTTGAATGTATGACGTATGAACAGAAGTTTTGAATATGAGTGCTATGTGAGAAATATTTAGAGCGCGAATTTGCAACAGGGGTCAACCGAAATTGGGCTCACCTTTGAACATTTTATCGTTTGACAAATAAAATGTTCAACGAAATTTATAATTTATCACCGCTCGGATGTCCTATGCAATTTTTTCAATTGTCGTTTGAATTCATACAGCCCGAGAAATATACAAATGAGAAACAACCGTTCGTTTCAAATCTGTTTCATTTCACTCGGAACTGGGTTACGATTTTAAATGTTCGTTCATTGCATTTTGTCGTATTTATTTTCTTCATTGTGACCCTTGCTGACAGATGCGGGTCATTGAAAACAATAGAAAAGGTGACGCTGGTCACACCGAAATGCTCAAATGTTCAAATGTACATGGAAATCGAGATTAATTCAAATGTAGAAAATTCACAACGATTCAAAATCGAAATAAACGAAATTGGTTTGTATGTAATGAAAAAAATATATCCGTTTTAATGGCATCTGAAAAAGGCATCCCTTCTATGTCAATCAAAGGTCAATGAGAGAGACAAGGAAGAGAAAGAAAAATGCAGCACAATATCAAAGAAATAAAATGCATTTATCTGCAATGGAAGTGAAGAAAATATGTGACCAATGGTCAAATGTCAACAATGAGCCTCTAATGTGCGTATACCAATTGTGATTGGTGTGATTGTGCACATAACTGTTTATTAGACGATCATAAATTGTGTGCGAACGCATCGGTCGATACATGGGGACATCGTTTTCCATCGATACAAGTCGCAATATGAAAAGAAAATTCTACAATTATACTAGTTGATCTTTTGTGATGAAAAATGCAACAATTCGGAAGTGCGAAATGAATGGAAACGTTGATACAATCAATGCATTTGGATAATGATGAATGGCGATATTTTCCTATTGGTTTCGCTAGATTTGCTCTAAATTCCGAGAACAGATTTTGTTTTAAATCATGGCTATTCTGAGTCTATATATTTTTACGAACTTCTATAGTTCAATCCAGTTTAAAGGGCGAGCGAAAAAATCATTTTTCAAATAAATGACCGTTTCATTATAAAATCTTACATTTTTCCACAATTGCAGATACCGCTTTTTACGAGTTGAACTGCACGGCTTATCCTTCGTATGAAGATGAGTTTGAGCCAGAAAAAATTCGGTTGAGCATTTCCATTGCATTGGCATAATTCAATTCAATTCTTTCATTTAAAGTTCTGCTCTTTAAATATAACATTTAACGCTTGTATTTAAAGGAGAAATTGTTTCCAGAATTCAAAATATTGCGAAAATCAATAAGTCTTCAAAAATCAGATTCTTCTCAAATAATATAATACTTTTTTTAAATAATTTTTATTCCATACATAAGAGCACCATCGTCATTATTCTGCGGTAGACCAATGTTTACATTATAAACCTTTTGTTAATGATATTTTTGTTTTTTTTTTCCTTCTTTTTGATTACATTCGCTTGAATATTTTATATCGTATGAACAGGTATAAAAACGATCACAAAATCCCAACGAAAGACATAAAAAGAGCGTATACACAAATGACCGGAAAAATTACCAGTCACATAGGAAAATAAAGGCAAAATTAGAGAATAACAGCAGTCTCGGCTCAAATGATAAAAAGGACAGAATGAGAAAATGACACGTGCTTTGTTAATAAGTGAATTTGCATACTGTCGGTTTCCTCTGAATGCTTCTTATTTCTACTTCTATATCACTATCGGTTTGTTACGTATTCAAATGAGCTAGTCGTCTGACCATTCAAAAAAAATAGTCCAAGTCGTATTGCGACGCAATCAAACAACACTTAGAGACCTGCCTCTATTCAGAATGTTTCAATATGGTTTGGTTATGGCGTTTACTATAATTGCAACAAAAATAGACATGATTATATGGTATACATATATACGTTTCAAACTTAGCAAAATTTCGTGTGATTATTAAGTCTTTATGTACACAGTTGTCTAAGGTAAATATTTACAGGTTCTATTCGTTGAGAGAAGTTTTTAATATTTTTATACTTAATTGTAGTTTATTATTTAAATCGTTAAGGCTGCATTAAGTAGCACAATGCTCTGAATGTGTCGAAAGTGGAAAGTCTAAAAATCCTCTTTTGCGATCAAAATCGAAAAATCGTATATATTCTGGATAGTACAATTAACAATGAATTTACGTGTATGATACTGTGATAGAGTCTTTTCTTCTTCAGAACTTGTTCATCGAAGGCGTATGATTAAAATGATAGTTTTGTAACAAAAAATGGATATCTAAAATCTCTAATTTGGAAAGAAAAGTAAACGCATTCGCACATACATGAATATTTCAGAGATACAGTAATTAACAAAAGGGGAGTGAGGCTATGAAAAACTGAAAGACAAGAGCAACAAAAACACATCCACCGCCGACATAGAATGAACAACAGAAAATCTATCAAGAAATGTGCGTGTTCAAGTACTCCAAATACATCGAAATAAGTTCAACGACAATAATGAAGACTCAGCCCGCTACGATGCTGATGGGCGAAGAAGAAAAGAATGGCATCCAACAGAATAAATAAATAAAAGAGGGTAAAAACCGTCAGCTAGAAAACATTAACCATTTATTTTATCCTATGTTGGTCATATGTATATATTTTTATGCGCTCTCGGTGTGTTTTTTCATTTCGTTTTCGTTCGGAGGATATATTTACGTGTTCCCTTCTGATGTTACATCGGTCGACACGAGCAACTTTCTTTCGTTATAAATTTATAAACCATTATTTACACTCTCTCAGCGCACACACACACATACACATACACGCACTTACGCAGGACAAAAACTCATGCTGAATGCCTATTGAATTCAATACGTTTCATATACAACCACACTCCCTGTGTGCTATTTCCTATGTTCACAAAGCAATATGTTTCTTTTAGGAGAGGAAAAAAGGAAATCGAATGCCATTTCAGAACATACACGAAAAAAATATAGACACGCGCCAAACGCTGTTATTGCTGTGAACATTGAACATCTGAACGCAATTCAATTGCGTGTCAATTCGACGCTCTGCGTTCATTGTGATATTGATCAGAAGGTGTGGTTTAGTTTCTCGCTCCTCGTTTTTTGTGCCTACGAAAAAACTGTATTATAAAAAACGGGAATAAAGAAGTCTTCTTAATTTTGATTGGGCGCTTGATTTTTGAACGATGTTTTTCGAAAATGGCGATCTGCTTATTGAATTTCATTCATATGAATTCCTTATGAAGGTCTGTAGTTCAAAGTAAAAAATGTCTGTTGTTGAGCAAAATCTCCAAAAATCACTATTAAGAATATTTTATGCATTTTATTGTATTTTGTTCAAATACAACACATTTGATTTGTTGACAATGAATTACACCCTCTGACTCGACGTTACCAATGAAAATTTTGTGTCTCTTAACGAAATAGAAAAAACAATGGTCACACCAACGAAAGGATTTCGTTTGTTTGAGAGTGCATGTGTATACACATTGTGTATATATATATATATATAAAAAGTACATAAATTGAAAATATTTGTACAGCTCCGACATATTCACCCCCTTGTAGCGAGCTGAATTGCAAAGACGATACAATTTTCGACTCTAAAAACGCTAGTTACCGATGTGCACAATACCTAAATACAAACGTTATGGAACAAGCGAAAAAACGAATGGATTTTATTGACATACGAAGCGAATGTGATTGAAGGAAAAGATCATTATTGCAAATGTTGTTAGAATGAGTATTGTTTGCTTCGTAAGAATTAAAAGCGTAGGGGGAAATGCGGAATTTATGACCACATTTTTTCAATATCAGGCCTATGGAAAACGCATTGTTCACATGCTGAGTCTATATACATAAATGACCGCTTTGCATCAATATGATACGGAGAAGGAACAACCATCATCACTGACGGAAAAACTAAGACAAAAACAGCAGCAAATGAGCAGAAAAGGAAAAAAGCCGTTCTAGATAATAATCATAATAATAGGACTTCCCAGCGTTTCGATACGACCACAATGAATCCGCTTATGTGAGCAAGTATAATTTAAGAAAATTAGATGGAATACTGAGCTAAACAAAAAAAACTTCCAACGAAACACAATTCTTATATCTTTGGCATTGCTAACGCAAATATATAATCCTGGACAAAAAATAATGGACGAAATAACGAAATGGAAAAGCTTGCTCGCGCTCAACACGGATCTCGATATGAAGAAGAAAATCGAAAGAAATCCAATGTAATCAATGAAGCTAATCAATAGTTGTAACGGTAAATATGAACACAGTCATGTTTTAACCGCAGAAGAAAACGCGATAAGAAGCGAAATGTCAAAGTGAAATGCTAAAGCGATTTCAAATCTTATGCAAACCATTTCTTTTCCCTAGGGGGAGACACGGAACTTAAATGAGTAGAATTAAACGATATTTTTTTTCAACGATAATAGAAAAAATAGAAGATATTAGTGAATTTGGTTTGCCAATGTTCTTATGGACGTATTTTTTATTGTTTACAAAATAGTCCCGTTAGGTCTTCCATAAGCGTTGTATTGACAGTAAAATACGCTCTGCAACCGATTTTACTAGAAATATTAGCACATTTGCATCAAACTAGAAAAATTAGAGGCTTAATGTCAAAAATATTTAAAATTGAATGTAACTCTAGATGTAACTAGACTCTATTAGAATTTGTTTCTCGCCCCTAGACATTTTCATGTAGTTTTCACGTCAAGCATTTTGTCAATGATTACGTTTAAACACAGTAAATTTTCGTTTTGAAAATGCAGTGAATGGAATTGAAATTCAATAATCTATGCGTTTCTGAATCCACTTAGAATTGTTGATTTGTTCGAGAAAAAATATAAGTCTGGAAATGGAAACCCCATAGAACACGTAACGAATATATTATCCTTACATATAAAAGCTGTTTTTTAAGAGCCTCCGAACTTTTTTTTGAATATTTTACTCAAAGTTGGAACAAATGACTATGAAAATGGTTTAAGTTATTAGAACAATTCTTGGAATTTAATGTATAAATATTGTTTTGGATATGACCACCAAAGGAGGGGATTGTTGGTTGTCAATGGTTTATATTTCATCTGAGTAATCTTTTTCATTTGAGTCCAGGGAGTAACAGGGAGTAGCCCATAACTGTAAAATTGAGTCATATTCTTGAATGATGGATTGACTGAATATTCGAAAAAATCTTGTCAGGAGACAACATCTTCTGAAACTGCCCAAATGGCTGTGAATAGGAGCAAATCGATAAATCCAGACATCAAGCCAGATTAAAGCCAAAAACCCGATTTTGTCACTCTGAACCAACGAGTTTTGGGTTAATTCGTTTTTTCCCCCAGTAATTCATGTAAATTTAGGTCTAAATCCGACTGTATTTTGAGAGCAAAATCACCTTAGAGGTCAATTATAATTGAAAATTATATATAGGCAGATGAAAACAAACATGTCATTCAGTGAAATATTTCTTAGCGGTCACAATTTCATATATATTTCAGATAGAACAAGAAATATGATTTTTGGGAAAGTATGTGGAAATGAAATCGAATATATTTATTTGGAGTACGTTTGCTTAGATGCCATGGACCGTACGATTTCGACGTTATTTGCACAAAATAAATAGCCATAAACCGAATGATATATGCAGCAATCTCCCCCACAATAGAATTTCGTATCGGCTTTATGTATGGAAAGAAATGTTGAGGGTATACACCATGATTCTGTTTGTTCTCATGTGTCAACAATAGCTCGGGCGCATCAAGAAAAAACCATTCACGAATGTATTGCGTGCAATTTTTTCTCATTTGTATTAAATGGTTACTGCTTCGATTGCGCGCTGGAGAGGAGGAACAGATAATGAAAAAAAGTGGTCGAAACGAAAAAATGGGTGATAACGGCGTTTCCATGACAACGGCTACTGCAGATTATGAGCAGAGTGAGTTCAATGACGAACAAGAAAAACCGAAAAAAGATAAAGACTTTGGATTCCTTGAGAGAAATTCCGACTGCGAGCGCTGCTACTAAGAAAAATTACCAGAAAGAAATCTCAGTTATATTGGTGATGAACGTTTTTGTTATTTTTATTTCGATTTTCTTTGGCCACCTTCATAAATTTAAAGGATTTCGCAAGTAATTTTCGGATAGCATTCTATGTTTTGTGTCATCTATCCACACGCAAAGGCATTAATTATAATGTGATATGCCAAAATTCATTTATGACTATTATTGTTTATGCCAAAAATAAATGGAAATATGAAGTTAATAGTAGTTTGTGTATTGTGGTTTACGTATTTTTATCCAATTAAATGGAATAATAAGCAAAAATGATTACCAACGAATTAATATGTGTTGCCGAAAGAAAAAAGCTGGAATACGTTGAACTGGTGAACAATCGAGCGAAACATGGATTAGGTGATACGTTGAGCGAGTCGAAATATAATTTGGGTTTAAATTGCGGAATTGAGTTAAGGAGTTAGAGATTGAGAAGCTGCGAATTCTATAATTTCTTAAAAGTGTAATAATTGCAATGACTTAATAATAATAATAAGAACATAATAATTAATTTTTTCTTCGGATTTGTATTGTTGAATAAGGTCATCATCAATGTGCACCCGTTGTTTAGTTAAAACAATGTTTCCATTATGTGGTACATTAACATAACAACCAGTATTCAATTTTGATTTTTGAGTTTTAGTGTTCGTCGTGCTCAAAATTCTTCTTATCTATTTTCTATATTTTTCATAAGATTTAATAGGTAATAGGTATTTTTCTTCAATTTCTTTTATAATAGGTAAATTAGTTTTAAAACCATAGATTCTTCTATATTTAGTGATAATTGAAATCAAAAATTAAAGGAGGAAAATTGCCCATTTACAGACAAACGGATACATGATTTGTAGAGCAATATCACTTTTTGTTCATTCTTCTGTGGTTTTATCCACAACAATCGCGCCTCTAGCACCTTAGAATATACAGTGAACGATATTTTCGTGCGCATAATCACATTTTTTTTCACATGGAGTATTTTTGTCAACCACAAAAACTATCTTGGCAACAAAAATCTAGAAATGCTGCTCCAACAAGTATGAATGCTTTTCGCAGCTTATGCGATATTCCAATCAAAGCCACTACTACACAAGCAACATACGGGTCGAAAATGTTCCGTCTCGCTTCGACAGCATCCAATATCTCCCGCTTGCATACAAATCTAACAACAAAAACGACCTTTGACAATGATTTTATGTAGCGAAAAAAATCGAAACCAAATCAGAATATTCACATTAGTGCACGAATGAGATTTCTTTGTGCATTCAAACATACCCAAAGCCACATAAGAGAAAGACAGAGAGAGCCACAAACACATACTCACAGTAACACTCACACACACACTCACACTCACACTAATATTCACATACAATAGCGAACAACAGCACAAAGCAATTTAAAAAAAACGACCAGCTCACATTCACTCTGGACGGAAAACAGGGATGGAAGTATAGTCGGAGAGGGTCTCAACACACTCTATCGTTGAAAAAACATAGGATGTCCGAACAAACTGATTTTTATATGATTTTTAAGATGTTTTTGTGAGTGCGTTGAAAAAACAAAGTCAGTCTGTGTCGATAAGGCAACGGGATGACACATAGTCAGCTCTGATGCGAAAAAATCTTATTTTGTTTTTCAGTTGATTTTTTGTGTTTCCGACGGTGAAATTATCGAAATTATTTTTTTGAAATAAAAACCAAGCCATCGATTTTCGAACATTTTCTAACATCATAGTGTTTTTGAAAATTATATTGTGTGAACATACAGTCAATTATTTCAACGCCAAAATAAACTAACATTTTCATAGAAAGTACGGTTGTCTTCCTTTTCATCTAACCGGAATTTAGCTTCTAAGACGTAGTGTCTCATCAAGCTACTTGAGATTGTACAACACTTTCGAATTTAAAGGTGAGTTGATTTTTATGTCAGTAATTATGCGTACGTTTTTTTACTTTAAAACTTATCATCATCGAGTGTCATATTGATGTGTTAGAGAGTTCTTCCGGTTAGTTTTGTGTGTGAGCAAAAGACAAAATACGACGTCGAATTTTCGGAACAAAGTGTACGGCGATTCGAAAGCGGGAAACGTGTTTGTTCAGTTTTTGTGGCTAACTGTTTTTTTAAATATATTGTGTGACAATCCAATCATTGTTTCATCACAATGAATACTCATTGTTCGATCAACTGAACATTGACTGAAAAGAACCTCAGTCGACTTGAAAAAAGAATGGTGATAAAAATCAACTTGAGATCAAATTGTTGGTTTTAGTTCCGAATTGGTGCGTTAAAATATATGTTCGATTGGCCTTAGGATATACTACGAACTGCACTTAAAAAACCATAAAAATTGAGCCCAATATGAAACTTGAATGTTTCTTATATGTTTATTTAAAAACACCATACAAACTGGTTTCAATGCATAATGGAAAAATCCCTTCTACTAGAATTCAGACTATTTGAAGTAGTATTTTAAGAATTATGATTTCAATGTATCGACGACAGCAACTTATTATGAATTGGTTTACGCATCAAAGAATGAGTCATACTTGTAATGATTTCCAATTATTAGACAAAAAACCCTCATCACTCCACAAAATCAAATCACTTTCTGTGTCTGCATGGATAATTTCCGATCCTCCTGGAAATTATGAATTGAATAAATGTTTCCAAATTGCTATTGGTTACTTTCGATTAAATTTTTGTTTGCAAAAATAAAACGGAATAATGCCTAGTGAAGCCTCAGTATATAAGAGAGCCATTGCATTAAAAACGATCAACTTGTCAAAAAAAATTGTTCAGACATATTTTCTGCATTATTGCCATTCTGAAAAGAGAAAGGATTTACAATATTTGGGATCTATACGATTGAGAAACAGATCAAAAGCAAGAAAAAAAACTGCTGAGTCTATGACATGTAATAAATTTGGAAGATCTAAGAATAAATAAATTGAAGGGTTCCGAGAATGAAATTTATGGTCTTCATTTGTTTGAGAATGGTTCGAACAAAAAAAAAGGATTTCTGAATTCATATTATCTATAATATTCAAAGCAGAATGGCAAACTGGGTATTAAACGTTAGTGCAACGAAAGAAAACCGGAGAATATTAGAAAAAAACCATAGTAAACATCGTAAAACCCATTTTTTGTTCATGTCGTATTTTTTGCTCTCATTTACCCTTCCATTCAGAATTGACAAAAAATATTCTCAATCGATTTCTTAGAACTCCGGAAAATATGAAACAATTTTTTTCAAAGTTCGTAAATTGCATGTTTGACTTTGAAAACAAATATTTGAAATCCTTTTTAGAGTTCAGACCTTGTACTTCAAGGGATACACTGTCGCATCAGGTATTCATCAATCCAAAAGTCTAAAGCAATTAAGCAAAGAAGATGAGAAGCGAAACTCGAACATAAAACATGTTTTTTGTTTGTTTCTTTGTGACGCCATTTTGTTTCAAATAAAAAAACGTACACAGCGTATTACAATGAAGAAATCCCCTCGCTATATACAGATACGTACTCGTTCTCCAGGCCACACTCATTCTCTTTTCTCCATGAACCAATCACATGTACCTAAAATACGCGCTGTAAACGGTATCATAGAAGTGAGAAAAAACATACATACAGCGAATACGCGTACAATTCTCATCTCGCTGCTGGATGGTATTGAGCGTGTTTAACAGAAGTATATAACATCTTTTTATACACGTTCATGGATCGGCGACAATTTGATATAGATTTTTGCCTTCTATTTCTCTTTCACGAATACTTTTTTTTCGCTTATTTATTGAATAAGTACAAACATGAAAAAACGGCGCATGCGAACAAGTTTCTGTATATTTTGTACCCTATCGACATAAGAATCGCCATTGAAATTGCCTTTTGATCGAACATTAAATGATGTGGGTCTTCAAACATTAAAAGTACTTTTGTTAGAAGAACACACCATCCCCTTAGACAATTTTATAGATTATAAACATAATTATGTTTCAACATAAATGTTGTTGTTTTTTGTTTGAAAAAATCGCCAACCCATTGGTGGTTGCTTTGTTTGTAGCAGCCAAGAGGAATGAACTGTAACAATTCGGGATGTTGGTAGAATGAAAGTACACTCTCATTCGTTGTTTTTTTGACAATATCTGAGCAAACAATTTTTTTGCATCAACATGCACTTAAAAGCAATAAGAAATGCGTCAATGTTGGTTAGCTAGTAGTATATTCATCCAATAACAATCTGTACCATTTTCATATTGTCTTGAATGAAGAAACAAAAGAACATACCTCGTCTAACACAATACAAACAGCTAAAATAGATAATTAACTGATTTTCAAAATTGTTTTTTTTTCTTAACAGTTTTCGGCAAATTGGTTAATCGTATTTGAAGCAGCAGTTCATAAAACAAATTATGCATAGCTGGGATACAATGCAACAAAGTACCAATTACGAGCAAGGCTGGTGTGAAACCACGACAAGCGCAGGAAGCACCCACATCAAAGCCGAGCCACAGGGCAACGAAGCAAGATTTGATCCCATCGATATCAAAGCAAGCAACAACAACAACACAATGATGCTCAATACAGCTGGTTCTCAGCGCAATAGTGAATCGAACCCAACGTCTCCGCATAGTGTGGGAAGCGATGAATCAGTAGTCAATCATCCGAATATGTACTACAATGAAACACTCCATTCTCTAATAAATGGCAGTCAGTCACAGCGACCGTTGGGATTTAATCCATTGACGCCACCTGGCTATCCAAACGCCTGTTTGCGATCAACGACTGATGTAAATATGCAGGAATCTATGCTCCCTACAACGCCATCGAGACGATTTGCAAAAGTTGAACCTGTATTCAATTCAACTTCATTAACCCCCATTCACACACCACCAATGGACCAAACGCCACCAAAATCACCAAAGTTCCGCAGTGATGTTTCCGAAAAGGATGCCACCGACATTGAAAACGGATCCATTTCCGGTGACGATTCAAAGTCGTTCTATAGCGATTACAACCAAGAAATCTCTCTACCAAAGGTAAACTCACATGGCAAAGTTAAAACACATAAATGTAAACATTGCGCATACGTTGGTGTGACAAAGAAAGACTTCTGGGAACATCAGCGTCAACACATCAAACCCGAACGACAAATCCAATGCACCAAATGTCCGTTTGTTACCGAATTCAAACATCACTTCGAATACCATGTGCGCAACCACGATGGCGATAAACCGTTCAAATGCCCCGAATGTACTTATTCATGCGTGAACAAATCGATGTTGAACTCTCATCTCAAATCACACTCTGATGTTTACCAATATCGATGCGAAAATTGCAATTACGCTACCAAATATGTTCATTCGTTGAAATTGCATTTGCGTAAGTACGATCATCATCCAGCTGTTCCGCTTGACCCAGAAGGCTGCCCAGATACAGCACCAATTATCGATGTGTATGGAACACGACGTGGCCCGAAGAAACGTGCAGTTAAAACGCCTGGAAAACGAGAACAGAAGAAACAAAATAAATTGCAAAAGGTAAAAGAAGTCAGCCCGAAACTCGTTCCGCAAATACAATCAAAACAATCGCAAGCCACACCACAAACACAACCACAACAACCTCCAGCACTTCCGAATATAGCAATGTCGCTACCACCATTCCTACCAAGTCACATTGCAAACATGTTGCCATACTTGAATTTGCAAATGCTCGTGCAACAACAACAGGCTTTGGCCGCCGCACAACTATCTCCAAATCAATTCCGCAATGGAGCCGGACGTAGCTTTGAAAATATCGACTGTGATGAGGACGAAGACGTGAACATGATCAATGGCACAATGAGTCGTTTGAATGATATTCACAGTGAATTGGATATCAACCATCCAGAATCGCCCACTTCATCGGTACCGAATAGTAATTCAAGTTTGAACAACAGTCACATGAGCAAAACCGTTGGCGATGACGATCATCATGTGCACCACAGTTCTCAAAACGACTGCCACGTATCGAAATCAGCCAACAATTCGACCCCGGTACAATACTCAGACCTAGACAAATCACCGGATAATGGGACAACTGCATCATTATCAAGCACACTGAAAATGTTTGACTGCAAATTTTGTGGAATTTCATTCCAAGACGCCGTTCTGCACACCATTCATATGGGCTACCATGGCTACAACGATGTTTTCACGTGTAACATGTGCGGTGAAAAGTGTTCGGATCGCATTTCATTCAACTTACATATCGCCAAAAAACAGCATTCATAAGGGACGTGCGAGAATATTTGTAAGATATCATAGCGTATCAGGTTATTGTTAATCAATAATTGAACATATAGCTCGTCACGTGTACAAAAACTAATTTATTTGAATCAATCAATAAGTAACTGGAGTCTTCTTTCGTGTCTCATTCAATCTACACAAGCAACATACGATTTTTTTCTTTCAAGAGAAAAGATAAAACTAGTCGTTCAGTATTTTAATTTATTTGTATTTTATTTAAAATTCGGATTTTCCTTTGCATCGCATGGAAGCAATCATTTTTTCAGGAAATGTACAAGAACAGCTCCGTGAAGCGACAAGATAGTTGATGTAAATTTGTATAAAATTACAGCAAAGCCCAAAAATAGAAATTGTAAGAGTTTTACCTTTAATTTTGCAAGAGAAATCTTGAGATACCTAAGAGTTATTTACTTTATGAAAAATATTATAAAAAGACGGTAATTTCCATTTTTTACTCTCTTTAATTCAATTTGAATTGAAACCAAATTGAAGTAGCAATTAAATACTGATAAATACCTCATTATGAGTAATAAGAAAAAAAATCAAATAAGACGTCAATAATGGTTGTTTTCGCAACCAATAGAGCACACTAATCAAAATAAAAACCGTTTTCTTCAAGAACATACAAATGAAGCATAGAATCTGAGGATCTACCTCACAAAGAGTATATTTTTTAAGTCGATTTTTTTCTGCCTGCAAAATGGAATGTAGGGATGTTATAAGAAATATCTGGAAAAAAAATCAATAAAATATATGTGAATTTGATTTACAGCCACCCTCTCCATTCGAACACAATTGCCATCAGAATTGTTCGAATGAAATTCATAAATCACAATTGAATGGATTTTTCTTTAACTTTGTTGATTCATTCAAAGATTTTTTTTTCATTCTGTGTTGCCCTGATTTTGTATTTGAAAACGTAGTCCGTAAGATTATGCAGCCAACCAAGTTCTGTAGTAATAAACTATTTAAATTATGATTGATAAGGATAAGTGGCTGAAGTCAAATGAACTAAATAGACTAAATAGTCGAAAAAATAGACTTAAGTATTTAGGTTTTAGATTTTTGTTCCAATTTCCAACGAACCACATGAAATAAAAGTAAAACGCGAACATTACATTTGAACAAATTTGGCTCTTTTTCTTCAATTATTTTTAGCCCTTCAAAATGAAGTTAATAAAAACATCAAACCACAGGAGGTATGTCTATGAAAAGTCGTACGCGGTCACGCGACCATCAATTTTGTAAATCAGATTGGATGATCTATCAGATATAATAAGAAACCACTATTTGAAATTAGGAAAAAGCCGCTGCCTTCACCTATAAACTATGAAAACACGCGCTCATTATTGTTACCCATGACTTGCATTAAAATGTGCATCAAGAAAATATTGAAAACCATTGAAGGGAGCAAAAGCGAAAGGAACATATTGATTATGTTTTCAAAAGACTTCCTATTTGCATCAGATTGTGAGAAGGGAAAAAACGGAAAATAAAGATTCGTAGAAAAGACATTTACGCAAACGTATCAAATTCCCATTGGACAAAGATATTCAGCAAGGACATAAGCAGAAAAAGAGCGTAAAAAGAAAATAAAATACAGGCAACAGTTTTCTAATGTCAAAGATCGATTTTTATGTATAGTTCGCATTCTTACATCGCTCATGTGCTTGAATTGGTATAGATTCGATAGATCAAGTAAAAAGGAAAACATAGGGCACGGAAGGTACAAAACTCCAGCAATGTAATAAGATAAAGAAATGAATTACATGGTCCCGCACGTGCTCTCAAAAATGTATAAAAACAAATATTCAATGAGATGTCGTGTGCTGCGAACACAGTATAATTCAATCTGTAGTCCAAACCCAAACAGTGATGTGTAGTGCCTTTTTCAATAAAAACCTACATCATGGATGTATTCATATTTTGTTAAACGGCTTCTGAAAATTCAAATGGTCATGAACAGCAAAAGACAAGCAGTGCTGTTAGCAGTGTCATAGAATCATAAATTCGATTTCAATATTTTTGTTTGTGGAAACAGGGAAGACGAGAGGAGAATAGGAAAATTCTATTTATAAAAACCATGAATGTTTTCAGAAAAACTAGTGGTGTGACGTGAACATGCAATGATTTAAACGTTTGTGTGAATAATGTGTAAATTGTAATGTATCGTGCGCGACTGATCTTGCTGATGTCAATGTCATCGTATTCTCAGTTTTTTTCCCTTTATACGAATCATTTCTTGCTTATTCGACTCACCAGCACTTTTTCCGTTTGTTTCGTTGGTCTCCATGTATCGAAGGAATGTTGGAAATAGAAGCCACAACAGTTTTACAACTCATATTTTAAATAAATACCCCATTACGAAGCCATAATGTAGACGGCGGTGATAGTAGTACACATCTTGCGCTCAGTAAAACTATCAAGTTTTTTTCGTCATCTCTTTTTTTCCTTAGTCATTAACGTTAACCTACAAACAATGTACAAAGTGCACTTTTCGTGCGGCTATATGAAAATGTGGCAGTGTTCAACATAGCATATTAGACTTCAATTCATTCTTACAAATGTAAATGGTTCAAACTTGTCAGTAATGACCAAATTTATTTTTTTATGTTATTATGCTCTTCAATCATCAGTTCAGTATTTCAATGTCGAATTTGTTTTTTTTCTGCATTTACTCATACTCTATTCGAGTAGCCGGGCACATTTTTGTTATAATTAATTTATTTTTCTCCTACGAGCGTTAACATCTGGCTTGTGATGTACAATTTAATATTTGTATGTGTTTATGTGCGTAATGGTTTGTTTTAGGCTTTCTCATGCATCATTTTTCTGATATTTTTAGCACGCAAAGCGAAGACAAATATTTTTTATGGACGAACTTGAAAATTGAATCTTTGGTTTTTGTGCGTGTTCCATTCATTCGATTACGTTCGTTTGGAATACCGATTGACCATGACTGGTTTAATTCCATTTCCTTATTTCATATCACCTCTGCTCCTTGTCAATCCAGTGTTAGATGACCGGTCGAATTGATTAATGTCTGACAATGCGTTCGTACCTGTTTTAAAATTGAAAGAATAAAACAATAAAAAAAAGACCGCAGATCGTCGCATCACTCCGCTCTGCGTTCTTGAAGCTTGTAAATTTATGGGGTTTATTTAATTTGATGTTTCTCATCAAATTATTATCGTAAGCACTACATGAAATGTAGTATACATTTTGTATGTAAACATTTTAATATTGTCAAAAATAATTAAATAAATTTATATGATGATATTGTATTCTTCACTTATGTTTTATGTAATGTCATTGTACATTATTTCACATTGGTAACGAAAAAAGTGTATTTTTTTAACATAATTTTATTTCATTTTTGAAATTAGGCGTAATTGCTTCATTTGAAATAAAAAATATAGATATAAAAATGAATTAATTTACGGTCCAAAAAATGGCCTAAAGACTCTTAAAATTTTCTTGGAAGAAAAACAACAACTGCAGTAGCCTACATTTCCATGTAGTGCTAAAAACTGAACGGATAAATTTTGTTTTTGGCTGATGTGGGGAAAATTCGACATGGCATTTTTCACGATATTCTTTTGTTTTCACATTACCATTTTTCCGGTACGACCGTATGGTCCAGTATTTTTTTTTGCAACCGGCACGAACCATTGAAAAATTATGATGAAAGTGAAAAATAAAATGACCTATTGATCGGATGTTTAGATAAATCGCCCAAATGCTATCTCATCCACATTTGCAGAGCACATGCAGAAAAATACGCTAAATGAAATAGGAACGAATTTGAACAATTCTTTTTAGTTATCTATCACCTGTACGGTGCAATGTGCGATATGTGGTGAGGGAATCAATTGACATAAAAAAAAACTAAAAGCGAGAACGTAAAGCAGAACGAATTGATTTTTTACCTGTTTTTCATTACATTTCTATTTTTTTCAACTTTGCCAGATCCTTTTTCCTTCCCAAGGGCCAGATTTTTTTATTCTTGTACATGCGGAACATTCAAACATAGAAATATGATCTTTTATTATTGATTTTCTTCGAGTGCAAGTATATACTGTGTTTTTTTCCCTCTATTGCACTTCGTTCGACATTTTTTTGTATGTGGAAAAAAAAATATATAAATGAATCGTCTGTATCCCGTCTATCTGCCATAAATGGTACAGCACCAACAGATGATACTTCATGTTTTTGGCATTTGGTTTTCTTCTCGTCATTTTATGCTCTGCATCACTTTTTCGTTCGATGTACGATGCAATGTGCATTTTTATGGTCGAGATAGGAAGCATTACTAACCGCTCATGCGACTGCATCTCAAATCACAAATGTCAGCAAGACCCTTGGAGTGTTTGAAAAGTTTTTAGTATATTTTCTTCTTAAGGTAGAAAGATGAGAAAAGAGACGAGAAGAAAAGCTGACGTTTTCTTTTGTGGTGCGCAGATTAGCCCGTTTAATCGTTCAAAGAACTTGCACTACACTCACGTAATAAAATCGCAATATGCGGATGAAAAAATGCTTTAGATAAAGTTTCACTGTATTTAGTCTCATAAAAAGAGCAAGTATAAACTGCTGTTTGCAATTGAACCAAAGTGAAGAAGAACTTTTTTTCCATACATTCATTTTTTTTCTGTGGAACACCTCAATCAAAACCATATATATTTGACACAACAAGTTGGGATCAAGTGAGGTTAATCATTTGTAAAGAAAAAACATTTTTTTTCTATACATTTTTTATACGCAGATTATTCCCCCTGAATTGTGTAAAACTTGCCATTGGTTAGGTCGTTGAAATCAATAGGGTCGCAGTTTGCTTTTTTTTTCTTCAACGATCCCATTTTTTATTCAAGGGAAATACAGTACATTATCATTGATTTAGGCGGCATTTTTTTGTATATATATAAAAAAGAGAAAAAAAAGAGATCATTACAACATTATTAGTAGAATGTTTTTCTACGATAAAATTGGGCGTGAAATTTGTTGATGTTGACTTCGATTTTTTTTATTCGTTGACTTTTAACGGATATTGTAATAAGTAGGGGAAGAATTACCTATTGGTGGAAGAAAAAAATTGCTCGAGGGAAGAATTTTTTTATGAATGAGGCTTAGAAGCAAACTTGTTTGTCTATTTGATGACGATCATGGAGTGTGTTTTTCGGACACGCATTCACGTTTTTTTGTATACTTGTTGCCGAGAAGATTATCTTCTGTCAATATCAAATCAGGTGAGTATGACGCATGAGCCAATCGAAATGTAAAAAACGAGTTTACGAACGTACTGTGTTGTTATTTTATGCAACAATCGTTTGGTTTGTAGCTTATACAGTCATTCACAAAATTGTCATTAGAGTCTATGTAAAATTGGGTGTACAAACAATTTTGTGAATACATAATCATCTCCCATTTTAATTCCTGTGGATTTTTTATTCTGAAATTTCACTATTTTGGTCTTCAGGCCTTCCACCTACAGTATACCAAAAATCTTCGAGGTTCGATTTCGCGAAGCATATTTTTTTGAGACACAAAAAACGCCAATTTGTATGAAAATTGTGAGGTATACAGACAATTTTGTGAGTGACTGTATATCAAATGCAAATACGTAGCTCATCATTGTATTAATTGCCATTAATTGAATGCATAATAATTTCGAATTAGTAGAGGAAGTGAGTAGGAAATCGCAATAATCTATTAGCTTGTATTTTTTTACATCCACTCAAATGTTCGTTGAAATCGTACGAAAATTCATGAAAAATCCTCTGTCACAATCTGATTAGTATTAATCTCTTGTACAAAACCGATTTCGTTCTAGTGTTTCATTTAAATGCGACGGAAGCGTTAATCAACATTCCATATTTAAATGACTGTTGCCTCACTTCTTTTCTTCCGTTAGTATAGACGAAAATCTTGTTTTTTCCATTTTCCATCTGTAACAATTTCAATGAATAGTTGAATTTTTTTCCAGATATTCATGTTGTTGTTTTTTACATAGGGAATTTATCGTATAAAGCGCAGATGAGCAGTTGCAATTCGGACTGTACACAAACATTCAGACGATGAAAATATCAATACTCACGCATATACAGAAAACCCAATTAAACGAAACGCAGACGAATGAATACGAAGTAGCACATTTCCACACAGAACAGTTCGACAATAGTGGTAATAAAGAGAAAATCGCCCTCTTCAGTCAACGTTGTTGTCGTCGCCGCTTCTCTCTTTTTTTTCAAATAATAATTTTTGTGTGTGCGAACAGATGTTTTATGCAAGAAGAGAAGTCCCTTTTTCTCGATTGCGTGTGACACACACGGCACCAATCCATTCGAAATGAGCCACCCCAGCTTCAATGAATTATACGCATAAAGCAGTAAAGAAAAAAAAATCGGACCAAATTCACCAAGATTTTTTTCCATCGATGGTCGGCAGTGTGATGTACACGGTGAACCGGAATAGAAAAAAAACGTTAGATAGATCACATCAAAATGCTTATGCGCATGACATCCAAATTCTATGCGTGTGTATGAAATTTATTTTTGTCTTTGTCAATATGTGCATTCGCCGTTTGTGAACGTTAAAGGAGTATATATATGTGAATGGCGTTGAAAGAAAAATGAAGGAAAGGATCAACAAAAAAAGAATTCAATTTGGTAATGAGATTGTGAATATAGAGAAAATATAAATTAGAATATTTAGAACGTTTGATTCACAACAAAAGCCGAAGAAAGCAAAAAAGTGCGTATAAGACCCGCACACAGTTCGACGATATCAAAACGTATGGTAATTTGCAATTAGAATAGTTTTTTATGCAGAAATTCGATATGCATGCTTTATTCTCCTGAATTGTACATAGCATTGTATGGCGTTGAGCATTCTCTATCCGTCTATTTGTCATGATTTTGTATCTGGAATCCATTGTCCAACATATACTGCACATTCGCCATGAATGTTGGTCAATATGTGGATATGAGCCGTATCGAACTTGTGCGAATAACACGATTACAAATTAACTAGATTGGTGTGAACAATTTCAGTATGGTACAAAAATTGATATTCAACCGGATAGATCATGGCCAATTTATCGGTCAATATATTAAAAATGGAAGCATTTACAAAGATTTTGGCATTTCTCAATTCTACTATTTGATTTTTTTTTAATTTCTTAACAGCCGTTTGTTTTGAATGTTTTTTGCATATGTTTTTCTATACAATACAGAGAGTATTGTCATCAAAACGCCAACCAAGTACAACATAAAAAACTACATGGTTTTTCTCAAATAAAATCATTTAACGAGACTTTTAATTGTTCAAGCAAAAAAGATGGAGGCAACCGATTTCCAGACGGTAGACAGATTTCAACAGAAACCCATCTGTATTTGATTTTCTGGACAGATGCACAAGTTTGTATGAATAGCTACTCATGACACCAACGCACCGCAAAAAATATCAAATGAAAGGGTAAAATTGAACACATTTATTGTTGTTAGAGAGAGATTATTTAGTTGGTTGATGGTTAATCACTATATACAATTTAGTCCATACTTATAAAGAAAACGAATTTCAGTTTCTTTTTCAGATGGAATACTCTTCTACTAGAAAATGACCAACTCTTATTTGTATTCGAACTACAGTGAATGATAGTTATTCGACATTGCCGTCATTTTCATAAATTATTATATTTTATTTCTATGCGAGAAGAAGAAACTATCCCAAATAAGAAGAACATTCAATTATGAAGCAATGACAAAGATACAGAATGCTTTTGCAACAATGTGGTTTCGAAAAAAAAATTTGCTGCCATACAAAAAGATACAAAATATTGAAAAATATTTATAAGCATATTTTTTTAATTTTATATTCTCTTTGGGCTCAGTAAAACATTAAATCGGTGTCAAAATATATTTTTTTTTGTATTTGTGCATTGAATTAGAAAAACGAAAAAATAAGTTCAGAAATTTGGTCAATGTTCAAGTTTCAAAGTGCATTTGTTAAACTTTTGACGTACTGAAAAATAGTGGAAGTAGAGAATTATCAAAAAAAATTGTTCAATAGATAACATGTAGTGTAAAGAAATGGACTAACAAATACCTTCATTTTGATTACGGATGCACTGTCAGCTGTGAAATTGCTGTAAAAAGCAAATCAAGTAACTATAGCTGATTTCTATCGTAATCCCATTTAATACGTATCCATTGATGAGGCATTATACACTGTTCTATGCATTTTAAAGTGGGAATATGTGTTAATGTGTAACATTCTCTGAAGTACGTGTCTAAACAATCGAAAGAATGTTAGAAGTGATTTTTTTATACTTTAAACTAACGAACCGAAACAAAACTGGACTTTATCGAATGTTTGATATTCCAACAAAGAGAACATTAGGAATAGCACGAAAAGAAACAAAAATATATGATTCATTAGAAATATGAATACACTAATAATATACTAAAAAAAGCAAATGTAGTGCAGAATCAATGTACGTTGTACAAATGCTATTATTTGCACACACAAGCAATAAATAGCTTACAAAAATGGGATGAGTCGTTGCTCAGTCTTTAGGGCATTCATTTCAATAGATTTGATAAGGGGCTTTCTGTCTCGCTACCGTTCAGATGCTTATCGAGAAGTGTTTTACTGAATCACAAAACGCAGTCATTCGTCTGAGATTTGACGAAAAAATCTTGTTTAAATATGAGGAGACACAAAGCAGTAATACAAAAAAGTCTTCGGCGTGCGATATGAATATTTATGTTTCTTTTTCGATGTCAACAAATTTCGATCGAACAAAACATATTGATATATTGATACAACAGAAAACTACGTCGGTCAAAACAATATTTTTTGAATTTAGATGTTCTATCTAGAGATTAATGCGCCGAATGTGATCAATTCACAACTGATTTACTCACTGTATATCTCTTATAGGTTTCACGATTGCGTCATTCAATTGAAATGATCAAGATCTAAACATAATTTAGACACGTGCTGAATATTCAAAATACAATTATGTACTTAAACCTATTCGATGATTTGTCAAAATTATAATTCAAAAAACTAAGAAAAACTTTCCCTTCATTTCTTGTCATTTTCAACTATCTTTTTTTCTGCGTATTGACCCTACTTATCTTCTTTCATTTTTACTTAAATTCAGATGTTTTTAGGAATGCATTGCTTGTGACACTATTCTACCTTTGACCTTTAGGGACACACACACAATCATGGAACATCATCGATAGAGAGTTTTTGCCCGTTTCAATGCACATACGTCTTTTGAGAAATTGAAAATTTATTGGCAATGATTTAGCAAAATTATAATATCTTTTATAAGAGAATATTAACCTTTTGAAATTTTGAGGCACACGTCCGAAAACTTGGAGTCACCGCAACATAATTAACGTATATTGCAATATAAATACAAATCGTTGAATAGTCTCTTGAGTATCCAGAATTTGATCATTATGAAATATGGATCGAATAGACGATGATTTAGGATTTTTTAACACATTTGAACACTCGTGCTAATTTATGGGTGTTCGTTAGCATTTGCTGCATTTTTTCAGGATGAATAAATGATTGATATGATAAATGATCTAACTACGTAACTATAGAATTACATTTTTTTTAGCAACAATGATCGATAAAAAAAATCGTGTCCAAAATGTCGTAGACATTGAATAACGAAAGAGAACATGTTTGTTCAACATTGAAAAAATCCGAGTGTTACTCTATGACCCGTGCCATCGATAGACTTTTAACAAAAGAACAAAACAAAAAGGAGAAATCAAAAATTGTCCTTCAATAGCCCAGCAGCTTTGGACATGCACAAAAACTAAAACTAAATGCAATCGCTAAATCGTTGATTATAAGCCACAAATACAGTCACGTAAATCATTGAACATGATGGAAAAGAAGAATTGGAAACAAACATCTGGCCTTCGATTGAATGAATCTCGTTTGCAACTAACACGGTATTTTTGGTTTTGAAACTGCAGTCTGCTCAAATTGACAGCGCCAAGTCTAACGGTCAAAGAACCACATATTCGACCTACTAACTGGACAATTTGTAACACTTTATCAAACGTTATATACAGAAACAGAACGAAAAGAAAAACGATCGATGAAAAATCATCTGATGCACAGCAAATATAGTGATAAAAGAAAAATAAACATAAAGAATAACGTACCAAGGATGTGGATTTCTTTTTGAAAAAAAAAACTAGGATAAATAGAGAATAAAAAAACAACAATAAGTGCGAATCAAAAGGAAGAAAATCACTAATAAGGTATATAAAAAGCGATACAGTGTGTCCACGTCCAGGCTGAACAATGCAGCATATGTGTATAGAAAAATCCAGAAAAAGGTACCATAAGAACAAAAAAAGAATCTCCCGTCGACTTGTGATCAAAAGGACTTTAGGTCAGCTTACCAAACCAATCTGCAATGAAATGATATTTTGTGTGCCATTTTCCGATCGATACTTGTATTTGAGTATTTCTTCATCGTACGCGCAAAAAAGTGCGAAAGATTATGTAAGGCCCCAGAATTCGTCTTGTATCCCTACCATTTTATTGGTGTGCTTCATATCATTTTTTGCAATTCTGTATACAGTAATTTGATCCATACAATGAACGTAAACTACGATGACATCTAATTGAAGATTTTGTTCAAAGACACAAACATCCGCATTGAATAGCAAATCAAAAAAGATACTTTTTCTTCCTGCTTTGATATGTTTACTCTCGATCGTCTTGCAAGATGTAAAAATATAAGCAATTTATCTTGTTGGTTCTTTATTTTCGAATCTTTTGTCTGATGTTCGGTGAGTTGACCTCTGATCAGTAACGCAAACATAGTCGCACGCGTCACAAACCATTTTCAATTGTCCTTTGCTTCGTTTAAATTGAGCGCCAAATAAGTTGATCTTTGAGAGACAAAAACACACAGAGGGAGAGAGTCTATGTCCACATTTTTTTCTTTACAAAACAATCTAACGGTTTTTATTTGTCTCGCTTCGCTTTTGAATATTACCAGTGTATGGAAAAACACACATCTTCTTTGGAAACCTTTGAGTTTTATCCCTGAGCTCGTGAGACTTCTTCTTTGGACATTTTCTCTTGCTTTCGAATCAAGTCATAATAATATCCTTTTAGTTTCATCAAACTATCATGTGTTCCTTGCTGAAAGCGAAGACAAACTTAGAGCGTATGATAATTAACAATAGAGCGCAAAGATGATGATCAAACCTCGACAATTTTCCCTTGATCCATAACAACGATTAAGTCAGCATTTTTTATCGTAGATAGACGATGCGCTATTACCAGAGTTGTTCTATTTTCCATTGCTTTATCCAATGCTTGCTGTACGATCGCTTCACTCGATGCATCCAGTGCGCTATAAAACATATTTTGAACGTATTCAATTTCACATTATATAGTTATAATGCACAATACATTAAAATGCTGTTTCTATTGTACCTTGTAGCTTCATCTAGAATTAAAATGATGGGTTGTTTCAGAAGTGCCCGTGCAATGGCAATTCGCTGACGTTGTCCACCGGACAGCTGCACTCCACGTTCGCCCACATTTGTCTCATAGCCTTCATTCAGTCTGCTGATAAACTCATGTGATTGTGCCAATTTTGAAGCTGTATAAACTTCATCTTTCGTTGCCAATGGTCTGCCATATCGAATATTCTCTAAAATTGTCGTTCCGAACAAAATTGGTTGCTGTTCAATGAATCCAATAATTTCAGCTCGAAGCCAATTTGGTGATAGAATTGAAATCGGCCGACCGTCTAGTGTAATAGATCCTTCATTAGGCTCATAGAATCTAGAGCGATATTTATAATTATATATGTTATTTAAATGACAAATTTTGGGATATTTAATTTATTTATTTTGGATTTTATATAATACCGCTCCAATAGTGATGCAACAGTCGATTTTCCACTACCCGAAGCACCCACTAAAGCTACCGTTTGCCCCGGCTTCAATACCAGATTAAAATCACGTAATATTACTTGATCTGGTCTTCTTGGATATGAAAAGGAGACGTTTTGGAAACAAATTTCACCACTCAGTTTTTCGAATGGAATTGTGATTCCAGAAATGAGGTCAATTTTGGGCTCAATGGCCAAATACTATGGGGAAAAAAATCTATATGAATTCATACCATTCCAAAAGAAAAAGAACAGAGATAACCTCGAAAACTCGATTCCCAGCTGTACAGCCTCTTATTAAAGTTCCCAAAAGAATTGAACCTTGCGAAAGTGATCTTTGCACACCTTGTGACGCTACTAAAAATGCCATCAACTGACCAGCGGTTATGTCGCTGCTAGCCATCAAATGACCACCCAAGAATAGAGTTGATAAAACCATGCTGATAAATATAAGTGTTGAGAAAAAATTAATATAGAAACCGATTTTAATATAATAATTAACTATTACCCGTTCAGAAATAAATTAGTAAGAGCCTGAAATACGGCAATTCCAACACCCAATTTTTCTGAAAAAGATTCATTACATCCGTATTAGATTTTATAAACTGGACCTTTTCTATTTTTAATTTTGACAAATTTACCAGATAATTCAGCGGCTGAATTGGTTTCTTTGCCGAACATTTTAATTTCCGAAAACTCGCACGCCGAACTTCGAACGGTGCGAATATTGGACAATGCCTCTTCACACAAGGCAGTCGCCTTTTCGGCTTGAGCTTGTGATTTTTTGCTAAGTGAACGAAGTGCACCGCCCAAGAGGGACATAATAACGACCGCAAATGGAACTGAAACTAATGCGACTGTTGCTAATTTAGGCGAGATTAGAAACAGCGATATACTTCCACCTGATTAAAGACAATTCATTATTTGATTGGCACTCATCGTACGTTACAATTTAAATTTACCAATTAGTTGAGCGATGCTCCGTAACCCTTGGGACACACATTGCTTGAAACATGATTTAAAATCTTGTACGTCAGTTGTTAATCGATTTACCAATTCACCAGTGCGATTTTCATCGAAAAAGGACAAATCTTGTAGGATAATCTGGAATGTTAATTTTTTAAACATAATCGCTTTATACAAAATACTCGAATTCTAACCTGCTTGAATAGATCTTGCCTAAGTCGTGCTGCCATTTGTTCTCCAATTTGGCTGAGTAACAAAATGTATAAAAAAGTAAAGCCAGATTGGAGAACGTACATGCCAAAAAGATTCATCGCTGGCGCTTTCATGGACATCAAGAACTGAGTGGCATCAAAGTCGTCCGAATTTCCAATCCTAGCGTAGCCTGCAAGCGCATTTACAAAGACGCCAAGTAGTTCAGGAATTTTTATATTGAAATAAGCTACAGCGAGCGCGGCCTGCAAATTGATTTGGATTAGCTTTAAATTAGTCGATTATGAAGATGAACGAATTTTCTACTAACAGCAATAGCGCCAAGAAATTTTAGCAAGTACGGTTTCAAATATCGCCAAAACTGGTGCCAGTCAAATGCAATTGAATCATTTTTTATGACATTCGTTTGATAACCTAACATAAATATTATTTTATGAAGATTGCTGCACTCAACAAATTGAAACAAATTATTGACCTGCTAATCTATTTGCAGAACTACATGATACAACAATCCGATTGTATCGAAAAGCAAAAGTCACAGCACAGGTCCCGCCAACCAACAATTTTTCAAATGGTGATAATTTATGTGATGTTTTTGGTTTTTTCAATGGACAATTTGTAAAAATTTGCCTTGTCGTATATGATGAATTAAACTGAAGTTTTGGTATAGTTTGATGCAAAAAGCTACAAAAAAAGAACAAATTGATTTCGATAGTTTGATGAAGCTCAATGACAATCTAATAAGATTTTGATTTAATCACTGTTATACAGTCAAAATGACAAGTTTTCTTACTGAAACTTTAACAGAGTTACAAAAGATGGAACACTTGAAGAAAGACTGCCACCCCTTAAAAGTGCCAACATTTTAATTTATGAAACTTTAAAATTTATAATAACTGAAAAGAATATAGAATATATCAATAATTAATTCATTGAATCAACACAACAGGAGCGATTTGTCAAATTACACACGCGAATGCGGCTTATAAGAAACACTATCAAAACACCTCCGAATGTTTTGAAGTATTTTTTGAGCGAAGACAAATATCGAGAGGAGAAGGCGAAAAAAGGAAAGTATTTCATTCAGGGCGAGATAGCTATATGTAACAGCATTTTGATTTGAGGCAGCGCTTAAGTACCGCTGACAGTTCATTCGTAAAATACATTGTACATTTGTATGGTTAAACCATATATTGAAACAAAAGTAATATGCATTGAGAGAACGACGTTTGAAGACAGAAGTCATTGTTTTGTTTGTGTTGTAAACAATTTCATCATAATTCGAAGAAAGGCAAGCTTGCAGAAAATCTGTCCAGCAGTTTTTAATTGTGAGATTTTTACAACGTATCAAATTTCTCCTCGTTCTAGGTTTAGATACATAGTTTCAGATGGGAATTTCAAAATTACATTCCCAAATTTCGAATCAATCTTTAATTATATAGAAATTTCATTTTGTAAGTGTACCTTTAAACATTTACAGAATCTAAAAAACACGTTGTCAAAATGGCAAACGTGCAACCGACAGCGGTGCAGAATAAGCAAAATTCAACCAACACAAATCAAGAACCATTGACCCCAATCACAATGCTTTTGCGTTTCCTTTACACGGGCACATCGGACGGTTCAATTCCAGTGAAAATAGCAACGAATCTGGAAAACATCGAAAATACGTTGTCTTGTGTCATTGACATGGCCACACAACGTGCTTTGCTACCAGTTTCCACCATTCGAAAGGTATGAATGGTTGAACTTTTACAGTTAAAATCAGAACAAAAACATGAGTTTTCATTTTGTTTTTATTTTTCTATTTTAGGTATATCAGGGCAAAATGTATATTCGTGTTGATGAAGTGCTAATTGCGCTCGCCTATTGTGCCAAGCAAACGCATTCAGAAGAACTTCGAATGTTGGCTAATAATGAAGCCCTTACACTGATCAGCGATCAGGACGACTTTCTGCTTTTCATCAGTTACTGTGCAAAAATATCAACCGTTTTACGCGGACCGCAGCACCTGAATTTTGGTCACGGAATGTGTCGATTGGTTGAAAAATGGTATGGAAAATTTTCGAATCTGGATCTGGCGAACATGTTCGGTGAGCATAGAAGCCTACACGGCTGGTCACACCAATCGGTCGTTCAAAAAGCACACATGAGAACAAAGAAGCGTACTTTGTTTGAGGTTCCAGCTTCAACAGAAACTGTGAGTGCTTCTAGTTCGACTGCACAGTCAACCATCGGTGATGTCTTAGCGATAAGCAATGTAGGCAGCGCAACAGCAGGAACTTCGTCATCGAATGCACAACTAGCATCTGCCACCGATGAAGACGACCGCGAACAGGTATTCTATCCTAGATATAGCAGAAAGCATGCTACATTAGAAAGAAAATAATCAATGATCATTGTGTAAATAGGTATTCCAGTTCGTTTTCTGTAAAGGTGGTCAAGAATACTTACAGTATTTGGAAGACAAGTCAGAACTTGGTCCAGGCGCACAACGCTTGAAAGATATCCAAATACTTAAAACAAATGAAAACATCGATAGCGCTGTTCAGTCCATTCGCCGCCATAAATTCTCTGTCACTCAAATACCAGCACATTTATTGGAAAAGGAAAAGATTTGGGAAACTCTATTGCCAACACTGTCGTCACGCACACTGCTGCTCCATTTGAATACTTTGAAGGATTTCGGTTTTTTGAACGAGGAAGGTTCACCATTTACTCAAAAATTCATCGAAGTATTTGGCAAACCAAATACATTCAAGCTTGAAAACGTTTGCCCCATTTACTTGTACATCTTGAAACAGTTGTACCAGAAAAATGTGCGTTATCTTGGAACAAAGAAAGCCGAATACTACGAGAAAAAGGTTTTAAAACGAAAAATCACCAAAAATAATGTAATCAAAAATCGACTCAATGACATGTTCAATCAAGCCTTGTTAATTGCAAAACCAGCACCTGCAAAATTTATGGTGGTTATGGATCTACGCAGAGGCAATGCAAACAGTATGTTATGTTAAATTCATATTTCAAAGAGAGTAAAAAGCTCTGTATACTAAATTTTTATTATTTCAACTATCCAGAACCCGTTCTGCGCAACAAACACATAAATTGCTTTGAGGCATCGCTCTTGTTGGCTTACTCGATCTTCGTCAGAGAAAAAGATGCACTGGTATACACGTTCACCGGTACAAAGGGTCAGTTGGAACCACTTCATCATTTAATGCCAAAAGCGAACTTTGAAATGGCTAAAGAAGTGATTGACTTACAATCGGTATGTTATTATTTGGATTTTAATCGTACAATGCGATCTCAAATGTTTCCCACTAAATATATATTTCACAGGTGTCTCATACATACCAAAGTTTGACAAAGCCAATTGCAGAGGCAACGACTATGAAGAAAAAAATTGACATGTTCGTGGTGATCGTGGACTCAGTGGCACGTTTTTGTCGACAAGGTCAAGTTCCGATTGAAGAATTCAAAGCATATAGAGCAAAGTTCAACGATCGTGCAAAGTAAGGACCACTTTTATTGAACAAACCAATTTTTTGTACAAGTGCGATATTGACCGTCAACTTTACTCATTTTTATTTCAATAGATATGTCGTCGTAAATTTAACACGTCCAACACCTGATCTGAAGATTCCACAAATCGATGGTATGAAAGGATTTTTCGAGATTTGTGGCTTTAATCAAGACACGCCCAAAATATTGTATGCTTTGGCCACACACTGCTTCACTTAAAGCGCAAAAAAAATTAAACAACAGAAGTCAAACTGTAATCGGACATTCATTCAATCCGGAAACTAAAAATGCCTTTTAATTCATAAAACATTTTTTGTTAGGTGCCTATTTCAATTTAAGCGCTTTGTTGAAACAACCACAAACTGAAACCGTATTGTTCTATTCAAATAGAATGGGCTCGACTACAATAATTAACAAAACGAAATTCATCGAATCCAAATTTTTAATTATAGTTTTGATGTAAAAAGGCAATATTTCCAAGGCTTTTATATGTAAAAGCACGATTGCAATCATGAGCGATCGTGCGCCTTGGAAATAGTGGCTAAATAGACATCTTAGATTTGAATTGTCGAGCTATAGACAAGATTTTGATTACAACAAAAACAGTCGTTAACAATATACAAATTTTGTTAAGTTTATATTCTTTGATTCGCATTCGAACCGTCAACCAAATTAGATTTATTTTTACTCTGAAAACAATATAGAAATATTTTGAAACAATATTGTGATAAAATGACGAAATGGAGACAAAAGTGAATTTTGAAGAAGAAAAACATTTGTTACATTTGTTAATCTTTAAAAATAAATCCAAATCAAAAACAATATTTTTGGTGCAGAAAAAAACATTTATCGCAAAATAAAATTTAAACAAAAAAAAAACTATCGTAAACCATCCAAATTGTAACATAGTCCAAATTGTAACAATTGAACAAATAGACTAATTTTCTGCAAAACTTTGAAGGGTAACTGTTGGTTTTTATATCATATTTGAGAAGAACACGAAAAAATCTACCGATATGAATATATGAATTAATTGTATTTTTTTAGAAAAGTGGTTTATGATGAGACTATGCTACAATTAGAACTATTTTACAATTTGGATGGTTTACGATATATTTAATATTTTTCGTTCGAAATTCACAATTGTCTTCATTTTTTGCAATGAATGAAAAAAATTATTTGTATTTAAAAAAACGGCAAAATTCAACAAAGAAAACACAAAATCAAAATGAAATCAGTTTCAAGGAAAAATATTCAGATAAAATTGTGTATTCCATTATTTTGACAAATCAATAAACACTGCCAACATCCAGCAGTCCGAAACATTCTAAAAACCGCAACGAGAACGAATCATTTTTGTACGAAAATGAATGTAAAAGGTAAAGTGAACGTACATATATACGTTTCAGAAGATTCAATGAATGGTCAGATGAGCGGCAAACTGGGCGAAGCCAACACTCATGTTTCTGTTTACAAGTTTACATATTTGAGTTATCGATGAGTGGCCGAAAATCTAGTTTAATGTCACCTTCAATGTGACATTTTTTCATACCTTTGCTTTACCTTTGCCAAAAAAATATAAAAAAAGTGCATGGAAATACCAAATGGAATGAAGAGCACTATCTTCATTCGACGATGGCTATCACAAATAAATCGCTCACGGGTAAATAAAGTTAATTTGTCAAATTGCTCGAATGTGAAAAAAAGGTTTTCTGCGAGCTTCGAGAGAATCAACTGAGGTGTACAGACTGTCAGACAATACGTCATTGGAGCAAAGTAAATGATTTCAAGTCAAAATGCTTACGGAGAAAAAAGTCACTACCGCATCGTACTGTGTGACTGTGTGAACTTGAAGACACACAAGACAAGAAACGTTGCTTTATAGAAGAACCCAGCACATACGAATATATTTTCCACATCCCACATACAATGATAAATCGCTGCATGAATGTTCAGCTTCAAATGCGTATGTATATAATATATATAAACAACTTTAATGCACATGGCCACAATGTAGTTCTCTCGTCTGCGTTCATGTGTACTACATTGAAGCAAACATGTTTTTCTTCTTTTTTCCCTATCATTTACATAAATCACAAGCATACACACAACCACAATCGGAATCATACATCGCTGCATATATTCGGTTCGCTATACACTATTTTCACATACACTTAGTTGGTAAACAAGTTCCAGTATTGTTCAATCGCTTAATCGTTTAACATGTGCGCGTCCACACACTTGTTTGCTAAACGTTATAGCAGCTGACTCAAGAATCATTTGATGCTGCATACCAGTTCGCGAGAAGAAGAACATCACACTTACCAGCCTACCTAGATTAAGAAAATAAGTTTTTAATTTGTGAGAATGAATGATAAGATTTGCTGATCTCAAGAAGTTAGCTGTTTCAACGAAAATTACGAAGAAACTTGAATTTTAAAGTAGATAAACGTTGCAGTTTGAAGTGCGAATAAAAATGAATTGTGTTAAAGAAAAGAATTAGCGAGTGAGAGGCAAGAAAACTTAGCAATGTCAACGTTTCATTTCATTTGCTCTCGTTGGTATACGGCATGTTAGTAGCCTTGCATAAAATACGTCAGAATATTCTGGTTTTACCACTTTGAGTGAAGAAAAAAAGGGAAAAAAACAAACACAAACACAAAAGACAAAGGCCAGTGTTGTGGTTTCTTCGGTTCACTGCTGTTACGTTCGTTCATTCTTGAATTTTATTCGCGAGTGCACTTTTTACTCTTTTGTGCCTTACATTGTGTTTCCATATTTTTCCATTATCGCTTCGTAATGATGTACTTTGGGTACAGTAGTCAAAATTGGTGATTCATAAGATGTAATATTATTTAGTGAAGAATATAACTGAGCGAAACATTTTTATCAGCGTCAAATAGTTTTTACCCGTCGTTCGTTTATTTCTATTTATGTGAAGAAATAAAAACAATATAAACAATTTTGTATCTAATGAATTGAACAATCAACAAGTGAGAAATATACCAATGCCATCGTGATGACGATCGAAACTGCCGATTAAGTGGTTAAATCATGAAACAGCAATTTAAAGCAATAACAAAATTTAAAAAAATTTCTACGCTATCGTATCATCTTTCAAATAAACTTATGCATATTTGTGTTTAAAGTGATTTTTTTACTGATTTTATTATAATTTCACAAAAATTTCAAACGGTCATTTCTCCATTATTGTTAAAAATACGGTTGAACGCTAAAGAGAATCGAATTATAATCTTGAACCACATTTGATCTACAATCTTTCAAGTTAATTCATTTTTTGATCATCGGTATATCAAACATCCGAATGAGTTACTAGAAGAATGGCTGCAATTATCCCCGTAACGCCGGCCGTGAATGCTAGCTCAATTTCAGTATCCGAGTGTGAAACCATTGAAGCGGAGCAACCTACTTCGAACTCATTACTATCAAATATATTTTTTATTCGGAAAAAAGAGTATAGCGTATCTCTCTGTGGTGGAAAACTAGTATGGGAACGTTCAAGAACAAAACGCGATCGAAACATAGTCTCAGTCACAAATATATTATCAATAAATTTTAATTCAAGTGTTAAAACTGAAAGAGCATCAAAGGAATTCACAATTTTTTACGCAAAACGTATAGAAAATTCATCAGATGCAAACAAATGGCGACAATTTAGTCAAACATTTCAAAACAACGATAGCCAAGTGTGTCAAACGTGGATACAGATAATACAGCGTCAAATCGATGGTAAGCGATTTTAAAACACAACATGGAATCGTGTTTGATATAAAATGCAAAATACCTCGATTCTTATTCTTATTCAGAAATACTTTATGCTGTTGATTGTGAGTTCCGTTATATTTTTATGTTAGTGCGCTAATTTTTAACTTAGTTAGTACTTTTATGTTGAATAAATAAACTTGCTATGACGAAAAATGTGTCCAACCAATTGGTTTCATATCAATTCTTTGCAATACTGTACTTATTCACGCAGTATAAGCGCAAGTTTTTTTTTAAGTTAATGATAATTAAATGATAAGGACACTTGGTCTTGAAAATATTTGCGAATAAAATCATTTTCATCAGGCTAAGAGGTTTGTGCAATTCGATTCATTGAAAAAAGCAGAATACTTTCACTTTAAAATTGAATAATAATTTAAAGCGGTTAAGTAGCTCCAGAATGTGACGTTGAATACTTCACTCTCAACCGCATAATAAATAGTTATTAAGACCGACCGGTTTTTTTGCAATAAAAAAATGTTCATGCGTCATCGCAATTATATGATACAGCAAGCAAAACTGCGTACTTTAAAATGAAACTTGTTCGTCGAATATAGTATATATACGAATCTTATATAATTTTTCAGAGTAAAATCATATTCAATGAAATTTCAAACTGCTTGTCGAAGCAATAAATTTTGACCCACAATACACAACGAAAATAACCATTTGAAAATTTTCAGGTGCCGTGAAAATAGTATAGTGTTGATTGTAATTATTTTTCATTAAAAGTAAATAATATTAATAAAAATGTTCGTTGTATGAGAGTCGGGGCAAAAGTTTTTTTTTGTATATTTGGCGAATTTCGTTTTTGTGAATTTCCGTTGAATTTATTTTGAGAATTTCGGAATTTCCGTTAAATTTCTTGGGGAATTTTGGGGTCTAGAATTTCAAAAAATTTCGCGAAATTCACAAAATTCCAGAAATTCCCCAAACAAATTCAACAGAAATTTCGAAATTCTCTAAATAAATTCAACAGAAATTCCTAAAAAAAAATAAAAAAAAAATCCTAAAAAAACTTTCGCTCCGACTTCCCATATAAAGAACAATTTTATAAAATCAACACTAAAATGAATTTATTGAATCACATATTTTCCTCCATCAAATCGTCGAACTGCCTCAAAATATGTTTTCTTTGGAAATGCTCGTCAAGACCTTTCCTATGATACTACGAGATCACTGATGTCGAACCATTTCTTTAATAAGTTATTGCGACCTTAGAGCTAAAATGATCTAACTTGTTTCAAATTTGGATTTGGAGTGTTTTAAGTGACTTCAGTAAAATTCAAGCTTCAATTTTTCCTCATCAAAGTAAATGCTCATGACAAATGCAGGCATAAATATGATGATATTTCCAAGAACTTTTGTATGGAGATCAAGGCTGTAGCCAGCTTTTTTGGCTCTATAGGTTGTTTCTATGCTACAAAATGATAACTTGTCCATTAGGGCGCTGCTCAGTGTACGCTATTTTGGAAAATAAATAGCAGCACTAGCTTGGATTACGTGGATCAATGAAAAAAAAAAGTGTAAACCTTTTAAAGCGATTTATATTGCATCCACACAAATCAGAAAATCTATGTAGTTGGAGATGTTGGGAATTGTCGAAAAATCAATAAAATCATCAAAATTAGACTCATTTTCATAGAAATTATCGTATGTCTCGGCTTGACTTCGCTTTATTTTCAATTCTTAAGATTGTTCATTAATTTTTATAACGATTCATCAAAAAAATCACATTTGGTGGATACAAGTGGGCAAAATGTCCGAATGCTAAATTTTTTCAGTTTTTCGACCATAACTCGCGGGGAATGCATTTTTTTCACTCATTTTTTTTGTCCAAGTTATAGCCAGAGAAAAATTAAACAACTTTCTAGAACACATGAACTCGAAAAAACCACATCCAGTCCACTTTATTGGCTGAAA